AAAGACACAGTTGCTCACAACTTGTTGACAAGGACACAGTTGCTCACAACTTGTTGACAAAGACACAGTTGCTCACAACTTGTTGACAAAGACACAGTTGCTCACAACTTGTTGACAAAGACACAGACGTTTAGAACTTGCTGACAGAACTTGCCCATAAAATTACTTCTCTGATCTTGGCTTTGTTTAAGAAAACCTTTTTCCACTAGAAAACTGATATTTAGTTTTTGTAATGCTTCGTCAAAGTGTTTATGTTCGTGTGTGTGTGTGTGTGTGTGTGTGTGTGTGTGTGACTATCTCATGAAGAGGGATATAGTGGCTATATAACTCTATATATCTAGGCTGCTGTTCTCTGACAACGTTGCCAGTCCCACCTTCTGCTCTCCTTAATTCAATGGAAAAGATTTCGTTAACACCCCTGACAAAGGGCCTCGCTGAAGAGCTAGGGGAAAAATATCGCTAATGACTTCGCAGAAGATCTCGTTAATACCTCCCAAAGAGCCTCCCAAAGACCTCGCAGAGAGTTTCGGTAAGACCTCCCAGAGTGCCTCCCTAAGACCTCCCAGAGTGCTTCGCTAAGACCTCCCAGAAACCGTCGCTAAGACCTCACAAAGAACGAGAAAAATATTTTTTTTCTGAAATATCCATTACCCCACAAAAAATCCATAATCCAGAAATATTCCTCATCCAAAATATTCCAAATATTAGAACTCTCTATTTCCCAAATATACCTATTATCATTGTCACTCTACGCTGGGTCTCCGCTTATTGAGAAACTATTATACGCTCTCAAGTGAATAAGTCCCAACTTACACACACACACACACACACACACACACACACACACACACACACACACACACACACACACACACACACACACACACACACACAACCGTGTGTGTGTGTGGTTTGCTTGTGTTTAACCCAAGCAAATGTAATGTAATGAAGATAGATGTAGGGAGCAGGAGACCAGATACATGGTATCATTTGGGAGATGAGATACTTCAAGAGTCAGAGAGAGAGAGAGAAAGACCTGGGGGTTGATATCACGCCAGACCTGTCCCCAGAAGCTCATATCAAGAGGTTAACATCAGCGGCATATGCCAGGTTGGCTAACATAAGAACGGCCTTTAGAAACTTGTGTAAGGGATCTTTCAGAACATTATATACCACATATGTCAGACCAATCCTGGAGTATGCGGCTCCAGCATGGAGTCCATATCTAGTCGAGCATAAGACTAACTGGAAAAGGTCAAAGGTTTGCAACCAGACTAATACCCGAGCTGAGAGGTATGAGCTACGAGGAGAGACTATGGGAATTAAACCTCACTTCATTGAAAGACAGATGAGTTAGGGGGGACATGATCATCACATTCAAGATTCACTAGGGAATTGATAGGGTAGATAAAGACAGACTATTTAACACAAGGGGCACATGCACTAGGGGACACAGGTGGAAACTAAGTACCCAAATGAGCCACAGAGATATTAGAAAGAACTTTTTTAGTGTCAGAGTGGTTGACAAATGGCATGCATTAGGAAGTGATGTGGTGGAGGCTGACTCCATACTCAGTTTCAAGTGTTGATACGATAGAGCCCAATAGGCTTAGGAACTTGTACACATGTTGATTGACGGTTGAGAGGCGGGACCAAAGAGCCAGAGCTCAACCACCGCAAGCACAATTAGGTGAGTAAACACACACTGTGGTACCCAACGTCTCGCGCGAGGGGGGTGCTTTTATTGACAATCCTTCTTTCGTCACTGAACCCGATCTCGACGGACTGACGGTTCTTAAGGTGGGGTTTGTGGGGAGTATACTCATGACGCACCCCTGGGGGCCCCCGGCAAGACCGGCAACATGTCTCTTGTTGGGTGTCCTGCCTCTAATTGTGGCTCCATGGTGGGTGTGGGGGCACATTCGTGAATGAAAGTATTACCTCTCGTTTTCATGTCGCTGAATACTGTTCCTCTTATGACTTCTCATGCTCGTGGGGTGGGCGACCAAGCCTCCGAATCAGACTGTGTTGAAAGACCGGGCTCAGTATCCCCCGCTACATTGGTCCCAGACCTAGCTCCTCCTCTGACCCTCCTGACTACTACTGTCGACTCCCCTCCCTCCTCTGTGGTTGGGACGAGTCCCAAGCCCACAGCGGTGACCACCTCGTCCCCTGGCACGGCTCAGTGTCTGTGCCTACTGCGCCTTTTACCCCCCCCCCCTCTCTCTCTGGGGGTTCTCAACGCTGTCCCTGCCATGGCCGCACTCGCACGATCCCTTCCTATACTAATATGTACAATGCCTCGTTTGGTCCTGCTTCGTGGGCAGTTGTCTCCAAGTTGTTGACTTTGATCTCCTCCCTCTGGATTCTACACCTCCTGACGATTTCTCCCTCCATAAACACCTTGTTGATTCAGTAGATGCCTCTGTTACTTTTAACCCCCACCTGTTTCGGTACACGTGTCGTCACTGCTCCTTCTCCGGATGCATCTACCCGCTTAGCCGCATTGTCCTGCATTGGGGAGACCCCTGTTCGGGTCTCCAAAAAGGCTCGATTAAATGCCAGTGTTGGCAATGTTCTCCTCCTGCACCATGTTGCAACTAGTGTTAGGGACCTAAAAGACTGCCATGAGTATATTAAACATATCCTCGAAGCCTAAGGCCATCCTGTCCTCCAGGTAGACACGTTCACTCGACCCTCTTGTGGTCGCCACCGTCAGCCCCTTTGAGTTGTGAAAATCACCCTCTATAGTAGGACCCTTCCGCCCTCTATTATTCTTGTTGGTGCCAGGTGTTCCATTCAGGAGTACATCCCCTCTCCTAGACTTTGTAATAAGTGCTGGAAGTTCGAGCATGGTGCCCTAAAATGCACAAGTCTTGTTTCTCTATGCCCCATGTGTCGGAACAATGGCCACTCTAAAACAGATTGCTCTTCTCCCCAGGCTCGCTGCCTCAGTTGCGGTGAGGCCCACCATATCTTCTCCTGCACGTGTATACACATCAAGCTTGAGGCAGCCGTCTTCAACTTGAAACACCGGGATCGTTTGAACTTTCCTGAAGCGAGACGCCAAGTCCGCCGTCTCCACACTTTCACTGGCGTATCTTATGCTCGCGTGTTGAGTTCTACCTCTCCTCATCCTTCCCACCTTCCTCAGTCCCACAAGTGTTTCCAGGCCTTGGACCCAGACACGCCCACCGCCTCCTCCCCTGTTCCTTTACGTTCTGGGCCAAAAGGTTTCCCTCCTGATTCTTCTTCTGGAGTCCCCCCCCCCTTCCTATCCAGTCTGCCATGTCTCCTGTGTCTTCTTTCCCTACTTCCCCTGATCCTTCTTCCCATCCCTCCTCACAGTCTCTTGCCCCTCCACGCTGCCTGTCTGTCCAGGCTAATGTCCATCATACTCCCAGCAATCTCCATGTTCACTCCCGTTCTTCTTTTCTTGCTGAGACCATTGAGTCTGTCGCCCAGTACGTTGTTGCTGGAACACCTGTCTCTTTGAGTCAGAAACTTAAGCCTAGCTCCTCTCCTTCCTCCTCCCTAGCGGGTAAGAAGGTATCGTTTTCTTCCTCCCCCCCCCCCGCCACCTCAGACTCTACCACTACGTTCCCTCATATTTCGGTGCTCGGGCCCCCTCTCCCAGCTATGGAGGTTTCTTTCGCCCCCGATTACCTCTCGGTTGCTGCCCTTGCTGAGCCGCATTCCCAGGTTTCTGCCCCCCCCCCCTCCTCCTCCTGCAGTCCTTGACAGCCCCTCTTGGTTGTCTCCCCCTCCTCCGGACCCCGTCCGTTTGCTTCTGGTCAGTCCTCCCGTTTCCTTCCTTCCAACTTTACTAAGTTTACCCATACCCCCCTAACCCTGATTTTGCTGTCCCAGACCCTGATGCTGATCCTGATCCTGAGCTTCTTTAATATACTGTGTTCTTCTTTACCTTTGTTTCTTTGTTCTTGTTGCTGTCCTTTCTCTTTTTGATAATGTCTATTCTTCAATGGAATATTCGTGGATTTTATGCCAACTTCCATGAACACCAACTTCTGATTACACAGTTTTCACCGCTTTGTGTTTGTCTCCAGGAGCCGATGCTTGGTGCTCGTCCTGGTCGCTTTCATGGTTATTCCTTTCTTTCTATCTCCCCCCCCCACCAGCTCTTGCTGGGGCCCATAACTTTACTGCTCTCTTGATTCGTACTGATATTCCCTCCGTCCCCCTACTGTTTCCATCGCCTATCCATTGTTCTGCTGCCCATGTTTTTGTGAATAAATGGTATACAGTCTGTTCCATTTATCTCCTCCCAAATGTCCCGCTTTCCCTTCCTGATCTTAAGCATCTCCTGGACTCCTCGCCAGAGCCAGTGCTCCTGTTGGGTGATTTCAACTGTCGACATTCCCTCTGGGGTGATGTTCTCACAAACACCCGAGGCCGCCTTCTCAAACCGTTCGTCCTCTCTTCTTCCCTGTCTCTTCTGAATTCTGGTAAGCCCACTCATGTTAACTCTCGAACTCGCACCCTTTCCTGTCTTGATCTTTCTCTCTGCTCGTCGTCCCTTTACTTAGATCTCACGTGGCAGGTTCTTGATGACCTCCATAACAGTGATCATTTCCCCATCCTCGTTTCCTTTTTCTCTTTCCACCCTCCCCTCTCCTTCCCTAGGTGGCAGTTTGCCAAGGCTCACTGGAACCTATTTACCCTCCGTGCTACTCTCTTACCTCTCCTCTTTGCCTCTTCCTCGTGCCCTCCTCCTTTTTCATGACACCGTCTTTGACGTTGCCCTCCGCTCTATTCCTCGTTCTATCTCCCGGGGCACGCGAATGGTGGAATGCGGGCTGTGCTTGGGCTGTCCGCTGTAAGCTGCAGCCTGGAAGAAACACCGACGCCGGCAGACGGCAGATTCTTTTATTTTGTTTCGGAAGGCTAGTGCGGTAGCCCGTAGGACCATCCGTACAGCTAAACGGGAGAGTTGGAAATCTTAGGTTTTCACCATAACGTCCAATACTCCTCTGCTGCAGATTCTGAAGAAGATATGCAAGATTGCCGGTAAGTTCGTTCCAGATGTCTTGCCGGTTCTTCACCTTCGTGGTACTCGTGTGGTGGACCCAGTGCAGGTCGCGACCAAACTGGGTTCCCACTTTTCAACTGATAGCTCCGGTTCTCATCTTCCTCAATCCTTCGTTCTTCGTAAGCCTGTTCTTGAATCTCATCTCTTAGATTTCCGCACTCCCCTCCGCCTTCCCTATAACGATCCCTTCTGTCTCTCTCTCTGAACTTCAGTCTGCCCTGGCCCTCTGCGGTTCTAGGGCAGCGGGCTCTTATGACATTCATTATGAGATGCTTCGCCATCTCCCTCCATGCACGTCACAGTATTTACTGAGTCTGTATAACCAGGTCTGGGAGTCGTCGTCCGTCCCTGAGGACTGGCTTGATGCCATCGTACTCCCTATTTAGAAACCGGGGTCTCACGGGACATCCCCTAAGGACTTCTGCTTATTGCCCTCACGAATTGTCTGCAAACTCTTTGAGCGCATGGTCAATGTTCGTCTGATGTGGTTCTTGGAACACTATCACCACCTCTCCCCTTCTCAATTTGATTTTCGCAAGTGCCGCAGCACGACTGATGTCCTGGTGAACTTGGAGGTCTATATTCGTACTGCTTTGCTGCGAAGACCTCCGTTGTCGCTGTCCTTTTTGACCTGGAAAAGGTTTACAACACCACCTGGAGATACCATATTTTATCCCAACTTCGTTCTTTTGGCTTTCGTGGTAATCTCACTCTCTTTCTCCAAAGCTTCTTCTCTCGTCGTTCCTTTAGAGTGAGGCTTGGTGCCACTCTCTGACTCTTTTCATCAATTCGATGTATCAGGTGTACCTCTAGGTAGTGTTCTGAGCCCTACTCTTTTTCTAGTTGCCCTCAATGGTCTTCTTTCCTCCCTTCCTTCTGGCGTCTTCTCCGCTCTCTATGTCGACGATCTTACTCTTTGCTGTCGAGGTGATGATTCGCCTCTCCTTCAACGGCGGCTTCAACTTGCGATTGATGCCGTGTCGTCTTGGGCCACCAATCATGGCTTCAAGTTCTCTGCAACCAAGACTTGTGCTATGACTTTTACTCGGAAGCATGTCGTTCTTCGTCCCTCTTTGTTGCTTTATGGTCATCCCCTTGTGTACAAAGATTCCGCTAAGCTTTTGGGGTTAATCTTTGACACTCGTTTGTCTTGGTCGCCCCATATCTCTTACCTCCGAGTTGAATGCTCTAAGGCCCTTAACCTACTTAAGGTTTTGTCCCATACTTCTTGGGGAGCGGATAGGCGCACGCTCCTCTCTTTACATTCTTCTCTCATACTGTCTAAACTCGATTATGGTTGCCCTGCATATTCTTCTGCTTCTCTTCTAATCTTTGCCGTCTTGATCCTTTGCACCATACTGGGTTGCGCCTCAGCTCTGGTGCCTTTCATTCGACTGCCGCCCTCAGCTTGTACGTTGACACTGGCTTCCTGTCTCTCTGGGACCGCCGAGATCGCTACTGTCTTTGCTGTCTTGCGCGGTCCTTGCAACACCCTCACTCTCGCCTCTGTCGTGCTTTGAATTCTTCCCCCTCCCCGTCTCTATAATTCCTGTTTCCCTTCACCACCTTCCTCTTTCTGTCCGGTTGTCTCGCCTACAACATTCTCTTTCGGTTAGTATTACTAATATTTCTCCTCGTGTTGTTCCGTCCTTGCCCCCGTGGAGCTCCCACTCCATTTCCATCTTCGCCGATGGGTCTAAGTCTGCAGACGGTGTGGGCTACTCTGTTTTTTTTCTTGACCACACCTATATGTGTCGCCTGCCTCCGGAGACTAGCATCTTCATGGCAGAACTTTATACTATTCTCTATGCTCTTCGTCTCCTGCTTTCTCGCTGTCAATCCTCCTTTGTGGTTGTAGTTGACTCTCGCAGTGCCATCATGGCTCTGGAGTCCTTTAATCCAGTCCATCTGGTGGTAGTCGAGATTCAACATTGGCTGTTTCTTATCTCCAGTAGATTTAAGACAGTTGAGTTTTGCTGGGTTCCCAGCCATATTTGGTGTCTTTAAATGAGCGTGCGGACGCTGCCGCTAAGGAAGCTATCCGCACTTGTACCATTTCCCGTAAAAACATTCCTTATTCCGACTTTCACCCAGTTATTCATTCCTCCATCCTTGCCCGTTGGCAGGGTTGTTGGTCTTCTGTTTCTGGTAACAAACTGTGTACTCTTAAGAGTAGTGTGTCCCTGTGGCCTTCCTCCTACCACTGTAACCGGCGGTGGGAAACGGCTCTGGCAAGGTTGCGTATTGGCCATACGCGCTTAACTCACGGACACTTAATGGAGCGCCCCCTGCTCCTTATTGTCCTAACTGCATTGTCCCTCTTACAGTTGTGCATATCCTTGTTGAATGTCCTGACTTCCAGGACGAGCGTGTGTCTTGCTTTCCGACCATCCCTCGTTGTCACTTTTCCCTCGATAGAATTCTTGGTGAATCGGATACTTTTAATACCGTTCGCCTTATGCGTTTCTGTTCTCGTATTGGCATCCTTGGTGATATTTAGCGCCCTCTGATTATTCCGCACATTTAATGGTGCTACATAGCCTTCCCGGTTTGGTGCCTTCTATTGATAATTACACACACACACACACACACACACACACACACACACACACACACACACACACACACACACACACACACACACACACACACGTAAACATATAAAAAATGAAGATGAGAAACGAAACATAAAAAAGAAAGATGAGAAAATGAAGATGAGAATTAATAATTATTAAAAATAACAGTGAAAACAAATCCTTTATGCAGTGTGATTTCCCATTGTTTATGCCTCCAATATAGCTCTTATATCCCCTCAAGCTTTGCCTTTACCTTTGTCTCAGCTTAAGGAAGACGTCTTAAGGCTGAGGCTTATGACACAATGTGTCTCAACACGATGAGGAGAGACAGCTCTTGATTCTCAGTCTTCAATTGCCCTCAAGACGCCCTCCTTAAGCAGTCTCAGGCAAACGTCAAACTTATGTTTAAGGAGAATAACAGCCATATTATATACTGTGGAGCCATATTCTATATTAAGAAGCCATATTCTATATTGTGGAGCCATATTCTATACTGTGGAGCCATATTCTATACTGTGGAGCCATATTCTATATTGTGGAGCCATATTCTATATTGTGGAGCCATATTCTATATTGTGGAGCCATTTTCTATATTGTGGAGCCATATTCTATACTGTGGAGCCATATTCTATACTGTGGAGCCATATTCTATACTGTGGAGCCATATTCTATACTGTGGAACCATTATCAATCAGAAAATGGCACTTAATTCCCAGGAACAAAACTTTTTACAAAAATACAATGATATCAACAATACAATGAGAGCAACACTACAATAATAATAATAATAATACAATGAGAGAGCAACAGTACATTAATATTAGTAATACAATGAGAGCAACAATACTATTATTAACCCCACAACAATACAATGACGTTAACAATGCAATGGGAGCAACAATGCAATGATATTAAATGTTTCTGGATGACGTAGGCAATATGTGTGCAAGGTGGACAGATACCAGACACAATGACAGGATGTTACAATGTAACACATGAGAAGTCTAAGATGAGCAGATGTTGCCTAGGTAACCGTGCAAGATGCTATCGTTCGGATAACCCGGAGATGTGGTCGGTGAGTGTTGGAGCAGGTGTGGGGAGGTGTTGGAGCAGGTGTGGGGAAAGTGTTGGAGCAGGTGTGGGGAAGTATTGGAGCAGGTGTGGGGGAAGTGTTGGAGCAGGGGTGGGAGAAGTGTTGAAGCAGGTGTGGGGAGAAATGTTGGAGCAGGGGTGGGGGAAGTGTTGGAGCAGGGGTGGGGGGAGTGTTGGAGCAGGGGTGGGGAAAGTGTTGGAGCAGGGCTAGGGGAAGTGTTGGAGCAGGTGTGGGGGAAGTGTTGGAGCAGGTGTGGGGGAAGTGTTGGAGCAGGGGTGGGGGAAGTATTGGAGCAGGGGTGGGGGAAGTGTTGGAGCAGGGGTGGGGGAAGTGTTGGAGCAGGTGTGGGGAAGTGTTGGAGCAGGGGTGGGGGAAGTGTTGGAGCAGGGGTGGGGGAAGGTGTTGGAGCAGGGGTGGGGGAAGTGTTGGAGCAGGGGTGGGGGAAAGTGTTGGAGCAGGTGTGGGGGAAGTGTTGGAGCAGGGGTGGGGAAAGTGTTGGAGCAGGGCTAGGGGAAGTGTTGGAGCAGGTGTGGGGAAGTGTTGGAGCAGGGGTGGGGGAAGTGTTGGAGCAGGGGTGGGGGAAGTATTGGAGCAGGGGTGGGGGAAGTGTTGGAGCAGGTGTGGGGGAAGTGTTGGAGCAGGGGTGGGGGAAGTGTTGGAGCAGGTGTGGGGGAAGTGTTGGACAAGAGGTAGAGAAGTGTACTTATCCAACCATCCAATTCATGTAATTACCCAACCATCCAATTCATATAATTACCCAACCATCCACTTCATATAATTACCCAACCATCCAGTTCATATAATTACCCAATCTCCACCTGTCCCTGTGTATAATGTCACTTGCTGTAACTTCTGCCACAGATTTCCAGCCCCTCTTTCACAGCGAGAATTTGACAATTTATTTTCTCAATATTCATTTACTCTATTTGCAGCTATTGCTTCTTGTTTTAAATTGGGTTAATAGGTTTATTATAGGCCAATTTCATGTATGAAAC